CAGTTAATTTTCAATCTTCTTATTTCTGCTCTAGAAACAGGGTGTGAAGAGAATCACACGTGCTGTCATCATGCGCTGTCATCATGCGCCACCTGATCTTTTCACCCAAACCAAGCATTGTTCTTTTCCGCTCGTTTCTGATACAATGAAGCTGCTCACGGCAGTGGTCAATGAAAGACCCCCATTGATATCTTTATACACTTGATCTTGAGGCTATATATAGTGTGTGGAATGAATTTTTATTGAAAAGCTACAACTATCTGACAAATTTTAATTTGAAAATTTGAATATCTGTTAAAGATATTAAAGTATCTCATAGAAACAATAATCTGACATCACTAAGCGTTTGCTATATCTCACCGGACCTAACTTATGGTAAATTTCTTGTACAAAGGCAGTATAACGTAATAAAAGACGGCACTGAAGTTAATGTGTCTGGTCCGTTAGCTTAGCCGGCAGAGCGTGGTGCTGATAACGCCAAGGTCGTAAGTTTGACCCTTACACGGACCAATAATTCTTTTAACTAAATCAACTGGAAAATACTATCTTAAGATTTTTATCTGATTTATCTGTTTTCTCTTTTCCTAATTCTTGACCTTATTTCAATTAAAAACCTGTTTTTATATGTTTTTTTTGATCGCTACAAAACAAAAGGACTAGATCAAATTTACCTTTGTCTATAATGTTACTACATGTAGCTAAAAACCCGGGGAGGGGGGTACTTTAGGAATTTCTGGGTGGGGATGTTCCGCTGGGACCCCAGTTAATAATATCCTGTAGTGTTTTATGATAGTCATCTATCGACGCTGTTGAGGCTGAGTTGCAAAAATTTAAACTTGCCGATTTCATTTTTTTTTTATATTTTTGAGTGGCAATTCCTGGTTTCCTTAGTTTAGATAAAATCTTCAACCAACTGGTCAGTTTCGTGACAAATGATACTCTATTCTAGACCCAAACGCTCTGATTTATATACACTATGCTAGAGTAAACTGCTTGAAAACCATACCCTTTACTGCGGCACTTACCTATATAGCCCATATACGGCAGTATATCTCCCCCGGGGCTGGAAAGTACCGGTTTGAAATATATGGATGCCAACAGAAACACTTGATTAAGCCATATTCTAATTTAAAGAGGCTTCATTGTGGTCAGTTAGAATTGTTTGCACAAAAATGAAAGAAATTTGTTTTAAAGGGGGAACGTAATTCACTGTTTCATATGGTATAACCCATCGTAGCTTGTTTCGTTTTGATGCCGTGTTCATCAATAAAAGAGTATTAAAAGGGCCTCTCCGGGAGTCGAGCCAGGGACCTATCGCACCCTAAGCGAGAATCATGCCACTAGACCAACAGGCCAAACGTCGTTGAATATTCCTTTGAGAAAGGTCTTAACCTACTTCTCTCTATTGAACTGGTACTATATAACACCAGTTATTTGTTGGCTTATTGGCTAAGACAGTTACTATCCAACTTCCCTGGTATTTCGCTTTTCATGTCTTTCGAGCAAGATACAATAATGTAGCAGAAACCTTACGCAAGTTAAAATTTCATCCACACAATTCAATTTGATGAAAATCGTAGAAACTCCCTCCATGGAAGTCTCCGTGGCGCAATCGGCCAGCGCGTTCGGCTATTAACCGAAAGGTTGGTGGTTCAAGCCCACCCGGGGACGATTCTTTCTGCTTTGATAATTGTTTTCTATATAGTTAGCGTCAAGAGTCCGTCCTGTTAGCGTAATTTTTAGCGGCAGGTATATTTTGCAGGGAGCAGGTTGCAGATTGCAGGTTGAAATTTAATTATAACTGGAAAACCGCTGGCAGTTAAAAGAACCATACAGGTGGTAGACTTACCGTGAATGTTACATGACGCTGTTCACAATCGCTCGGAACGGTGACTTCCACCTAAGTACCAAACCCGCCGAAGCGATGGGAGGAGAGTATATTCCTTTGATTTTAAGCCTGCAGTGAATTATTGTTTTTGAAGAAACATTTGAAATATCATCTGAAATATCTGCTGAATTTGGTTTCTTCCCTGTGAGTACCAAAATAAAGGCACACTGAGCTTCTGGTAGTATATTCCGTCGGTTAAAATCTTATATTATTTCATTTCTTTATTTATTTGCTTCATTTGTGATGGCAATCTTCTGTTGTTAAGGGAAGTGTAGCTTGCAGTTATCTCCACATTGTCCAAAAATAAACAGAAAATCAAAGTAGGAAGTTAAAGAAAACAAAACAAAACAAAACAAAATGATATTTGCTAGCAATAAAGATAAAAAGTTAAAAAAGGTAGGAAGCCGGCAGTTAAAAAAAAAAATTCAAGATTTCTCTCCACAGGACATCGAATCCTGCCATCTTGCGGCTGCAAGGCGCGTGGAACTATAGTCGCTAAATGCGAATTTGTTCTTAAAACCTGAGATTTGTGTAAATGTTGTTGCACAATGTGTTAACACATCTGAGAATAGTTGCAGGGCCCCAATGAAGAACACCTTTGATGAAGTATGCTCCCTGCTAAACATTTATTATTGTAGTTACTGTTCTGTGTAGTCGTGTAGTTACCAGTCCAACTCCGCTGCTTATTTTTCTGCGTCCTGTCAATAAAGCAAGATCAGGAGCCCATGACCCGGAGCGTCCACCTCCCATAACAACCCTAGGATTCAACCCTTTCTCGTATCTATTTATTTTTAGAATTTGACCTCTGGGAGTTTTCGCACCCCGCCTTTGAAACGCCCAATCAAAGCCCAGGTGGTCCCCGAGGGACCCCTAAGAGGTAACAATTCCAAAACAACACATTATCTCCTGTCAAAATTTTTTGAGCTCAATATATACGCGAAAAGGAACCCGCTGTGGACCTTTTGAGGCTGAACACCCTAAGAGGGATTGAGCTATCTTAGTACTGCTGGAAATTACAACACACAAGAAATGAGCTAAGTCTGTGTCTCAAGAAAAATCGACGGGACCGCTCTTACAGAGACACTCTCTGATCTTAACTTTTTTTTTTTAAAGTAAAACCAGTGAGCAGCACGTCTGCGAACTACTTGAGTTGTAAAACTTTTTTATTTTCTCCTACGCGTTTCGTGTGACTAGCGCACACTTTTTCAGGGAGTTTAACAATACAATCAAGTATACCTGTATATATACCTAGATACAATTCTGCATTTCGCAAAAAACGACACCTACGGATTTGCGTATACAAACCGCTCGGTAATGCGTCTAGGAAACAGGCAAAAAAATATTATTAAGGTGTGACATATTTTAAGTGTGACATAACTATTTGGGGCCCACAGTTTTAGCTAAAACTGAGTGAAAACAGTACGGCGCGGGGTGGGGAAGGTGGCGGGCTTATCGTTATAAGATATTCGCATACATGCTAAGAAAGCTTTAGGACTCTCAGTCTAAACAGTGGAGACATGCTTCGTCGTACAGACAACTTTTATTTATTCTCATAACTTTGTCCTTTAAATTAGACCTGGTATTAATTAATAGAGTTATTTAAATATTTTTAACCGGAGTACCCATATGACTTTGTTAGCTTGCCGTCAGTGGTATAAAATAAGGTGTCTTTTCTTCCGGAACCTTTTATTTATGCCCCATTGCACGGAATGAACACTATACTTAGAATGCTTTTTCTAAATCATTATTTGCTGTTACCAAGAATGTATGCAAAACCATTGCTTTATAAGAAGCTGACTCTAAAATATGATTTTCCTAATAATAACCAATGTAATTTACGTATGGTGTTGATAAAACTAGCAATGTATAATTTTCAGCGTTTTCCACTTACAGGACCGACATACAATTGTCAAGTGAACTATAATAGTTTCAGCTCATTCCTTGCTTCGATCTGATCTTTTATCACTGAACCCTTTTCTTTTCATTTGCAATTTTCCTGTACATTTTTTTTTCATACGACAACGACAAAGACTTTTATAAGTAAACCGATTTGTTGGTGTACCACGTTTATTACACTGTATATACAAATACATGCAAAAGACCGGCTAAATAACCTCCTCCTCCTGCTCCTAATTTTTGGTTGCTTTCGTCCCATGCCTCTGCACGACTCCCTGTTGGCTAAAAGGAAATTTGAAAAACTGCTATGCAGGACACCTTTACTTTT